TTGGTGGGAATTCAGGAAGACAGGGAAGGGGAAGAAAATTGGGCAGGGGTCGTATTCTGCAAACTTTTCTCCTCCTATGGCAGGAGCTGTCCTGCTTGTAATAGTTCGTCGGGAAACGGTCAGGGTTGAATCCCACCCCAACTTTAAGACCTCCCCCTGGCTACTTTCCTTTTGTCATCAACGGCACCTTTTCTGTTCTTCTCCGGAAAACCAACTGTTGAGATTAGTGTGGCACTACGATTCAGCAGAACAAGACCACAAACATGAAATACGTTTATGGATTCGACACGCCCCCGCATTTGCTTTGAAATGGAAACTAGTGGATGGGTCATGTTGAATTTCGAATCAATCAATAAACCTAAATTCAAGATGGCACAATTTGGGTTGATATAGCATGTATGCGCTGTCCAGTGCGCTACATGCTAAGCGACACACTCTATATCCCGGAGTTGGAGTAGGCGTGGCAGCCTATTTCCTTCAAACGTGAAGGTGGCTGCGGTTTTGGTTGGATATTGCTGTTTTAGCGTAATGGTAGTCATGTCTCTGTCTAGCACATGACAAGATGACAGTTCTTAAAAATTTAAATATTCTTCGAAAAACGCGCCCTACGCCATATTCAAGTGTAGTACGCGGCCACGCCCTTCTCATTCCCGGGATATATGAGGTAGATAGCATAACACTGACGTCACATAACACGTTAATGACGTGTCTTTAGACGTCACTGACAGTGATGAAAACATTTTTAAGGTTAGGGATAAAGCAAGTCATTGGTCCCTTGAAGTGACCTTTCTATTCCTCCCCTTTTTTTTCTAATTATTTATCATTAAGAAGACCCATCGTCTATCAACCCATGGAAGCCTACTTGCTTTTTTCACACCTGCCCCTCACCTTTCTCAAAACTGTCCACCAGGGTCCCCTCAAAGTCTTTGATGGCTCAAGGGGACTAACCGCAACCACGAAAACCTCATTTTGAGCATTTTCAATTGGACAATCCTCAGAATTCCAGGGCTTCAACTGCAGCGACAACCGTCGTAACCACAGAGTTCCCACCAGCAGGAAGCCAAGAGGCAAACGTGACGACCCGGTTGGCACTTTCCCAATGCTGGTCACATATGTCAACCAAAGAGTTGCAGAAGAGGGACGAGTTTGGTGAGACGGTTTTACATCGAGCTGTCCGTCAATGTGACTATGATTCAGCCAAGTAAGTTTGTTTATTTATTTATTCCATTCACTTCACTTCAAACATCACTGTTTTTCCCTCTACAGCCTTACTTTCAGAACTGAGACTAGATTTTAACCGAAATTTGTTTACGGGGGTATATTTGGCTAGGAATTGAGACCGAGGGTAGTTTGACCCATCGGACAAGACTAGAGGCGCGAATACGATTAGCTTATGCGCCAAAACATCTCAAATCACTGGGATTGGTTTGGTGGAGTGCCAGGCACAACGGCACCAGGCTGGTGCAGTTTCAGTAAATCCAAACTGCGACGAGGGCGGTGGAAGAAGCGTTGCTCCAAAATGATGATGGTGTGCGCCGTCCATTTGCGCCACCAGAACCCCACGTTTAATACAATCGTGGAACTGGATGCCGCGTGTCAAGTCAACTAGCGTAGGACACCCTTTAGTTGTGCAGCAGCAGTGCACGTAATTATCCTGGTATAATGGCTGGATGCGCAAAAACGTTACACGTCATTATAGTCGTTTCCGCTGTATACGCAGGGGCGTGTCAGCGGATGCGGATCTGGTGCAACGCTAGCTCATTTTTCACCACCTGTTGTTGGTTGCCCGCTTCAACAACTGGTGGAGAACGGGTTGGCATCGCGCCAAAGCCCCCTTTCTCTCCTCCCCCGCCCCTTTAGAGAGACTCTGCGACACACTGCAGCGGCCATTCATAGGAGAAAATTCTGCCTACATTAAGCGAACCCGCGGTCTCTTCGTGGTGGGTTTATTGACATCACAAGGTAGACACATTTCTTAGAAATACACTTTCAAGGGTGAAGCTCAGGTATGGGGCAGTCATCCAACTATCAGGTTTCTCAGATAAGTCGGAAGGGTTCCAGTGGAATAATAGTGCACTTATTTGCCTTTGATCTTACTATCTGGAGAGATAAAGTGGACCGCATGAACTTAATACGCTCTAATTCTTCAATTCTCCGACTCATCAGCTTTTTCCGTTGATCGCCACCGGTCTGGTGTTTGTATAACGTCTCGTCAAGAGCAATCCGAGCATCCAGGCGATTAGCCACTCATAATCGGGTCCTCCTTTGCAGACAGAGGTTATTATGAATTTATTACGGAAAGCGAAATTCGACGCGGTTCGACTTTGGAGGGGGCATTTTGCGCTTCCCCTACTTCCCATCAATAATCGAGCCATGAGTTGGAGAGCAGTGAAATCTTGTGAAGCTTGAAGCTATACCTTGTGAAGCGTTAAAGTTATACCAGCCCAAATTTGTAGAACCACTTGCAAAGCGTTGAGCACATTGGCGGAACAAAGTAGCGAAACTTCAGCCCCCCCCAAGGCGAACTGCACCCGAAATTTTTTTGAAAAATCTATGGTACTCAAATCGTATCGCCAGCCAATTGACGATTTGGGCAAAATACGAATCTTAGTCGGTGCAACTGTCTGGTGGACGAGTAGAGTCGCTTTAAATCAAGGACATATTCCGCTTGGC